AACGGGTTCAATTATTCGAGTTTTTTAAGGTACCATAATCTTGCGCCGCTGTCACGGTTATTCGGACAGTTTAAACATTATACCCCCCATGGGTCCGACTGGGCTATTCCAAAAGAGGTAACCATTCGTGAGGCAGAGGAGCGAGTACAGTGCTGTGTATTGTTGTGTGCTGCAGAAATCTACTTCATGGCCGTGAAGTTCTTGAGGTTCTTTCATGTATTCAACAGAGAAAAGCAAATGCCTGTACCCACCGAAATAGGCACAAGAACTTGCACTGGCCCAGATCGCGTCTGAGGCTAAACCAATCACTTGCGCGAACTTATAAATAAATTTGCCAAGAGCTATTCTAAATATGAGTGTGTGGGAACACAATTTCCTTCACTCTAAGCCCCCCAAGCCTCAACCCATGCCTCAATTTTCCTGTTCCCAAGTTCCAACCTCCCTCTCGCAGCGCTATTCTTCGTCCACATTATACCAAAACTTTGGCTTTTACTCCACACGAGCACCACTACCGGTAGTTAGGACTCTGCCCCACAATAGAATAAATACTAGGGAAGCATTTATTTCCATCCCCGAGCTTAACCTTACGCTCGAGCCCTCAGCGCCTTCGACCTATTCCTAGGTTTGTGAAAGGATAGTTTTCGACTATCCCGATAAGTGACAAGGAAGTGACTAGCTTCACTCACGACAAGCGAGCTATAGCTTATCGGCACAGTATCTGGCTTTCAAATACCGCTATGGCTTCCCAGAGAGCTGAAAGTAGCAACGGGGCGATAGATGGGTGTGTATCCCTACTCTCCAGAATCACTCCTCTACTAACCGTACTCTTAGCGGAATTGACCAAGCACAATCCAGTGTCAACGGAAGTTTCAGCGGGAACACGGGTAACCATAATGTCTTCGGCAACGGTAACTTTATCTGGAACATTCAGGTGCCCCGCGATATGACCGAGTTGGGTGGAATAAATGAAGGGCAGGGAGTGAGGGTTAGGGACAGGGGTATTGGCGTGTCTCTCTAGATTTTTATCCAGAGGCTAATGCGTTATCAGAACCGGGAGAAGCATCGAGGCCATATTGGATGGTTCCCTATTGCAGGAACAGCACATTCACTGGCCGTGAGAGTGTCATCGAGTCGATAAAAGCAGTTTGCAAAAGTGGGGCCCATAACCGAGTCGCACTCCATGGGTTGGGGGGTTGTGGGTATGTATTTGGTATTCCCTTGTACTAGTACGAGGTTTACTAATGTCGCTTAGAAAAACCCAGATTGCTCTAGAATACGTTTGCCGGCGTACCAGTGAAGGCCATTGTAATGTTTTCTGGGTACAGGGAAGTGGGATATCGAAATTTACAGAGGGTTTCAAGGCTATTGGACAGCATGTTCGAATTCCTCTAGCGAGCACTGAGAAAGACGAAGAGGAACTGCTCCGGCATACAAGGACATGGTTCGAAGGCCCTGATAGTGGCGACTGGATCCTAGTTATCGACAATGCCGACAATGACGCAGACTTTGTCGGAAACACCAGCCCCATTGCCAAGTTTGTGCCACAAGGCCGCGAAGGAACTGTGATATTCACCACCCGATCTCGGCAGGTTGCAACTCGACAGGGCTGTAAAATTATCAAGGTTGGCAAGATGGAGCCGGAAGAGGCCCTGGTCCTGTTTTCGAAAAGATTTGATAACTGGCAAGATTTGGAAGAGGAAGAAAAAGGGGTTGTCGAAAGAATCCTCGACTCGATGGATCACCTACCGTTGGCTGTCGTGGGTTCAGCAGCCTTCATGGCCGAGAATGGGACATCGCCCTCCACTTACTGGTCAATTTTCCAGAAGAATGATAAACGAACAAAAGAGCTACTTTCGGAGCAATTTTGCGACATCCAACGAGAGGTCGACATGACCGAAAGTATTCTAGGCACCTACTTTATCACTTTTGACAGAATCACCGAACAGATGCCCCTAATGGAAAAACTTCTCGGGCTAATTGCATTCCTCGATCGTCAGAACATACCCGAGGAACTACTGACTCATTCCGGAGTGGAGGGCATGGATGATTCACTTAAATTTTGTCAGGCGATTGGGAAACTATTGAGGTTCTCATTGGTTACCGAAGTCAAACTTGAAGGCGCAACACTTTACGAGCTTCACCGTTTGGTTCAACTCTCTATTCAGACGTATTTATCAATGGAACAAGCCAGTCAAGGGAGGGCCACCGGACTGCGGACTGTCTCAAGGCTGTTCCCTGAGTATGAGTACAAACGGCGGAGTGTCTGTGCAGCTTACATGTCCCATGCGCTGGTATTAACTAAAGATTCAACGGATACAACTGCCGAAGACCTTGTCTATCGCATGGGGCGGCATTATTTCCAAATGGGCTCCTATAATAATGCCGAGATTCAAGCCCGCCAATGCATCGTGCTTCGAGAGGCGGGTAAAATGCGAGACTTGGAGGGCGTGAACTCCCGAGTGGCTCTCTTAGGAGCAGCGCGCTTGTACCAAGGAAGGTTCAAGGAGGCAGAGGTGATATTTCGTAAGGTGCTAAAGGACGTGGAGAATAATTCTGGATTAGACCATCCTAATACTTCGTGGGTTGTTAACAGCCTGGCTGTGGCGCTGCGGGAGCAAGCGAGGTATGAAGAATCGGAGGTTCTGAATCGCCGCGCAATGGAGGGGTACGAGAAGTGTTTTGGATTCAACCACTCTAATACTTTGATGGCTTCCCAGAACCTGGCTCGGGTGCTATTGGTTCGCGGGAGGTACGAAGAATCAGAGGTGATGAATCGCCGCACATTGGAGGGGTATGAGAAGTGTTTTGGATCCAACCACCCTAATACTTTGCTGGCTTCCCAGGACCTGGCTCAGGTACTATTGGTTCGCGGGAGGTGCGATGAATCAGAAGCGATGGGTCGCCGCGCATTGGAGGTGTTCGAGAAATGTTTGGGGTCGGACCACCCTGACACTTTGAGGGCTGTCGATAACCTCGCTCTAGTGCTGCGGGAGCAAGGAAGGTATGATGAATCGGAGGTGATGAGCCGTCGCACGTTGGAGGGGTATGAGAAACGCAAGGGATCGGACCACCCTGATACCTTGATGGCTGCCAAGAACCTGGCTCTGGTGCTACGGGAGCAAGGGAGGTATGATGAATCAGAGGTGGTGAGTCGCCACGCATT